CTGTGGTCCAGGAAAGGGAACTTGGGGGAATGCTTTGAATCATAGTTGGCGGTATGGTTCAAATCTCTTCACTGACTTGTGATCTCAGACTACCCTTCTGGTGCTCAGTTACCTCCTCTCTAAAATTAAGGATTAGTGATATAAATCCTAGATTTGGAGCCAGGGAAACAAAAGGTTAAATCCCACCCCCAATGCTTTTTTTTGAAACAGGGCAGAGTATGGTACAGGGGAAAGTGTTTTACATCAGGTCAGATGACTTCTGATGCTAACCACCTGTGTGACTTCAAGCAAGGAATTTCACCTCCTGTAGTCTCTGTTTCTTTATTTGTAAAAGGAGGACATTGGACTAGATGGCCTTTTTCAGGTCTGCATCTATAACCTTATGGTTATATGATTTCAAAAGTCCCTTTTAATTATAAAATCTGTGATCCCGTAAAGAGAATCAGCCAGTCACATTCATTGAACACCTATTATCTACTAGACACTTTGAAGGGATGTAAATAAATATAAAACAAGGTCTCTGTTCTCAAAGGAGCTTAATATTTGATAAAGAAAGACACATTTTGAATATTTTATTTTTTCCCAAATATATGCAAACATTTTTAACATTCATTTTTTAAAATTTTGAGTTCCAAATTCTTTCCCTTCTCACCTCCTTAATTGAGAAGGCAAGCAATTTGATACAGGTTATACATGTATGGTCATGCAAAACAATTTCCATATTAGTCAATGTTTTGAAAGAACACACAGACCAAAAAAAAAAAAACAACCAAAAAAATAAAGTTGTTTTTTTTTAAAGGATACTTTGGTCTGCATTCAGGCTCCATCAGTTCTTTCTCTGGATATGAAGAGCATTTTTCATCATGAGTCCTTTGGAATTGTCTTTCATCATGGTACTGCGGAGAATAGCTGAGTCATTTGCAGTTGATTATCATACAATATTGCTGTTACTCTGTGCAGTGTTCTCCTGGTTCTGCTCACTTCGCTTTGTAAGTTCATATAAGTCTTTCAAGGTTTTTCTGAAATCATTTGCTCATCATTTCTTATAACACAATAGTATTCCATTTACAATCATATACCACAACTTGTTCAGCCATTTCCCTTGATGGGCATCATCTCAATTTCCAGTTCTTTACTACTACAAAAAGAGTTGCTATAAATATTTTTGTACATATAGGTCCTTTTCCTTTTTTTTTTTTTAAATCTCAGATACAGAAGTAGTAGTGGTATTGTTGGGTTAAAGGGTAGGCATGGTTTTATAGCCCTTTGGGCATAATTACAGATTGCTCTCTAGAGTGGTTGGATCAGTTCACAACAGAAAGATACATTTCTGTGAAAAATGTAACAATATAGGAGAGTGTGTAATCTGGGCTAAATGAATTATATAGAAATTAATGGCTATCAGAGTATGGAGGTAGGGCAGCTAGGTGGCACAGCAGATAGAGCACTGGTCCTGGAGTCAGGAGGTCCTGAGTTCAAATATGGCCTCAGACACTTCCTAGCTGTGTGACCCTTAAGAAGTCACTTAACCCTATTTGCCTCAGTTTCCTTATCTGTAAAATGATCTGCAGAAGGAAATGGCAAGCCATTCCATTATCTGTCCAGAAAATGGGGTCGTGAAGAGTTGGACATAACCGAAACACGACTCAATAACAACACCAACAGCAGGAGGTAGGAGAGTTCATTTTAAGCTGTGTGGTTAGGGCAGGCAACCTAGAGGAGCTGGAATTTGGGTTAGGCTTTAAAGGATAGGTGGCATTTGGAAAAATGGAATAGAGCAAGGGGGCAGAGCATTCTGGGCCAGGAGTGTCAGCTGGAACAAAGGCATTGGGCCGGCAACGTACAAGGTATCTATCTTTGGGTGAGAATGCTTGCAGGAGGCCAAAGTAGATTATCTGCTTAAGGAAGAAATAGAAGAAAAGGTTAGAAAGGCAAGTCAATGGCCGTAATATCAGATCTGTGCGTATAGAGATAGTAAGAGAAGCCTGAGATTGTGTGAGCCCAAGGTAAGACTGGGAATGAAAAGTAGGGTCAAGCATGGGAGTGGGCCAGACCTGGTAGGTATCTAGAAGCCATCAGCTAGGACAGACTTTGGGCACTGCAATCTGCTGGGCAATCAGGGAACGCCTGCTTTCCAGAAGTCAAAGCAAGGTAGGAGATTGGAAATCATGCAAGGATTGAGGCATCAGAAAAAAACTTGGGTACTGTGAGATGGCACTCCACCTTGGTAGAGGGGACTTCCTCACCCAGGAGTTCCCTACATCAATGAAATCACAGGGTCAGTCCGTGTTCCTTTATTTTGTTTGGGAGAATGAAAGTGCCTTGAGCCTATTTTCATTATTGTCTCCATAGCCTTGTTGCCATGCATAGTGCCTGGCATGTAGTAGGTGCTTAAGAACTTTTTTAATTGAATTTAAATTATTTGAAAGCAGTTAGGAGTCAAAAAGCCCACATGCACCCAAAGTTCAAAGCAATGTGTTACGTAGTATGTGAGCTATTTTGCTGAGTCATTTTTCAGTAGTGTCCAAGCTTTTTCTGACAAACTCTTCCTTTTGGGATTTTCTTAGCAAGGACATTAGAGTGGCTTGCCATTTCCTTTCCGCAGCTGATTTTACAGATGAGGAAACTGAGGCAAACAGAGTTAAGTGACTCGGCCAGGGTCACACAGCTGGTAAGTGTCTGAGGCCAAATTTGAACTCAAAAAGAGAAGTCTTCCTGACTCCAGACCCAGAATTCTGTCCAAGTGCCACCTGGTTGCCCCATCACAGAAGTAGAAGATAGCAAAGGGGAAGAGCATGACAATGGCTTCAAGAATCCCTTTAAACGAAAGCATCTTTTTTTTTCTCAAACAGGAAATTTACACGTCTCCCCCATTAAAATATGAGCTCCTTGAGGGCAGAGGCAATTTTTGCCTTTTTTTTTTGTATCTCCAGCACTTAGTAGGGTGCCTAGCACATCATAAAGCACTTAATAACATGCTTGTCGACTGACTGACTTAATCTTCCTGTGACTCAGTTACCTCATCTGTAAAATGAGGGAGTCAGGACAGATGGCCTCCAAGTTCTCTTCGAGATCTAAATCTACGAATCTGTGATCCATTAGGTAGCATGCAAGCCATGTTAGGGAGGTGGTAAAAAGGCCATTTGATTGGAATGAGGGAATAGGAGGGGCCAGAGACAAGAGCATGAAGACAGGTCGTCTAAGACCATGAATGCCAAGCAGAGGAGTTTGAACTTTAGACTGATAGACAGTGAAGGGCTTCTGTGCAGGGGCATGAGGTGATTTTTAAAAATGTGATATTGCTCACGTTTATTATAGAATATGAAGACTGAGGGAGGAGGCAGTAGATTAGAAGCTTATACATAGTGGTGGTCACCAGTTACCAAGGACTGTGAGCACATCTGCAGTTTGAATGAATGAATGAAGCATTTAATAGATCTGGTGGTTTGGGGAATGCTGCTATTCTCAAGATCCTGGACCCAGAATTTTGAGCTGTCTATCAGAGTCCTAAGGAGAGAAAATAGTCAAGATGGTAGAAGTGGCCTGAGATGAGCCATCTCCCATCCCTCCCTCAGGGTGTCTCTGCCTAGGTCAGACTAGCACTGTAGGATGATACTTTAGTAGAGGGCATTAACTTCCAGATTTTCATGTCTGCATATGTTTTTAATGGTTTATTTATTTAAAAAAATTTGATATCTAATTCTCCTAAAGTTATTATATCACTGACATGAGGATGATTATAATCATAATGATGATAACAAACAACTAGCATTTACACAGGGCTTTAGGGTTTGCACAGTGTTTTATATCTGGACCTGGCCTATTTACTAGCCCTGGAGTCAGGAAGACCTGAGATCAAATGTAACCTCAGATACCTACTACCAGTGTGTTGCTCAGCAAATCACTTAACCACTGTCTGCCTCAGTTTCCTTAATTATAAAAATAGGATTCTAATAGTACCAGGATTGTTGTGAACATTAAATAAGATAAATTTCTAAAGTATTTAGCACAGTGCCTGGCACATAGTAGGTGCTTAAATAAATGTGTTTCCCAGTGCCCAACAAACAGAAGGGATTGGACTAGATCAGGGGTGGGGAACCCGCAACCTTAAGGTCACGTGGCCTTCTAGGTCCTCAAGTGTGGCTCTTTGAATCCAACTTCACAGAACAAATCCCCTTAATAAAAGGATTTGTTCTGTAAAACTCGGACTCAGTCAAAAGGCCTCACCCAAGGACCTAGAAGGCCACATGTTGCCCTGAGGCCACAGGTTCCCACCCCTGGACTAGACTGCTTCTAAATTACTTCCCAGTGTTAAGATTCCATTTACTTCTAGGTAGGGATTAGTTAATTAGCTGAGCTAAAGAATTGCCTCTCAGCTACAACCATTCTTTAGTCTGGAGTCCTTCTCTGCCTAGCATTGTACTTTCCTCTAAGGAAAAGGTTCTTTCAGGGTGTTCTTTGTCTCTCAAAAGCCTCAAACAGAAACTCTGCCTTATTGTCCACCATCCTAAAAATGGCCTCATTAGCTAGTAAGATCATCCACTGAATTCCTTTAGAAGCATAGCATAGACCCCCTCAGAAATTAAGGTTGGTTTATTGAGGCCAGAGTAAGCCACTCTGCCAACACCATGTTCTAACCTTGCTCAAAATGATCCTTTCTCCTGTAGCCTCTAGCATGCCCTTCCTCCTCACCGTTTGAGTCAGCTCCTCCCTTTCCTTGCCAAGGCTAACAATTCATTCTAAAAGGTCACCTCCTTTGTAGAGCTACACACGAAAGCACTTAATTTCTAACCCCATTTAATAGGACAAAATAACATATAGGCACCAACAAACATTGTTTAAACAGAGTTTAGTCCAAAATGGGGTTTAGTTTCTCCTTTCTGTAGTCACGGGAGAGACTGGGACTCCTGAAGAAAGAATTTAAAAAAAAATATGAGCTTCAAACTATAAAGTTGTTATTTATGATAACTGATACTATGTTGTGGTTGGTTTTCTTATAGGCAACTTCAAAAGGTCTTTCATGGTATTACAAACAACGAAGGTGGAATAATGAACAAATTCAAAAAGTAAGTGGGATCTTCACCAATTTTATTGTACTCACAGATACTGAGTGGGAAGGGTGTGGTTTACTTCCTGAAAAACATTCAGTGAGAAGGGAAAAATCAGTGTTTGTTACCAGAATGGTTCTAAGTCTTCTTCAGAAGATGCCCCTTTCTAGTCTCTTCCTTCCTGGTGATGAATGACAGAACTGACTGAATATCTGACTGAATATACCTGGCCAGGAATCCACTCTACACCATACCTAGGAAGTGATCATCCCACCTTTGTTGGAACACACCCACTGGGGAATCAAACTACCTCCCACAGCAGCTCCACTTCAAGATAGCTTTAACTGGGAGTAAGGTTTTGTGACCTCAAGCCTAAATTTGCTTCTGTGCTACCCCACCCCACCCCCACCCTATCCCACTATTGTTCTTAATGTTATCCTCTTGGGCCAAAGAGAATCAGTCTAATCCCTCTTCTGTAGGCCACCCTTCAAATGACAGCTGGCGTCTCAACCTGAAATCTCTTGTATAATCAACATTCCCATTTCCTTCAGTCAATTATCGTATGGCACAATAGATAGAGCCCTGGAGTCAGAAAGACTCATCATCCTGAGTTCAAATCTGGCCTCAGACACTTACTAGCTATGTGACCCTGGGCAAAACCCTGTTTGCCTCACTTTCTTCATCTGTAAAATGAGCTGGAGAAGGAAATGGCAAACCACTCCAGTATCATTGCCATCAAAACCCCAAACAGGGTCACAAAGAGTTGGACGTGACTGAAAAAGACTGAACAGAAACAACATGAGCCCAAGGCTCTTCAATCATCTTATATGCCCTTCTATAGATGATCTCCAGGTGTTTAATGTCCTTCCTAAAATGCAGTGCCCCACACTAAACATATGTGACAAATATGAGCTGATTGAGGCAGATTACAAAAGGAGTGTCTAGTTTTGTATACTGTCCTTTTCTTTACACTACAGGTACCAAGCTGTGTCAATTGATGCAAAATTTCAAAAGTAATTTTATTTTCATTTATTATAGTTTCCATCTGTGCAAGTGTACTTTAGATATAAATCATCATAAGTAAAAGTATAATTTTACTTTAAAATAAAAAATTTTATTCTACTAGCTCTATTTTCTTTGCCTTATGGATTTTTAAAAAATGCACTGCGTCAATGGACACAGCTTGGTCCTTTGAGGTCTTCTTAAATTCTGGGCCTTCAACTCATCACTCTTCCTAAAAGCCAGCCTCCCCCCTTCATTCCCCCATATCCAATCAATTACAAAGTTTATTTGCTTCTACCTCTACATCTCTGTCTCTGTTCCCCTTCTCTCTACTCCCATAGTCACCATGCTAGTTGGGTCCTCAGCACTTCTCACCTGGACTCTTAATTGATATCCTGAGTGGATCCCCAGTGTCCCTAGGATGAAATGCAAACTCCTTTTTGGGCTTTAAGGCCCTTCACAGTTTTGTTCCAACATCTTTGTCCAAACAGACTCATATTACTCCCTTTCATGTTCTACACTTCCCCATATATAACATTCTGTATCTGTATCCTAACTCTGTACCTTTTCATAGACTCTTCCCCCATACCTAGAAAATTCTTCTCACTCACCTTTGTGTCTTTTGTATTTTCTCTTTCCCCCAAAGTTTCACTGATATTAAGCTATTAAAGCTTAAAACCGCAGTAAGATGTTTGGGACAGCGTGTATTTTATATATCCTAATCTGTGTGGATATTGTTTTTCCCAGTAGAATATAAGTGCTTTATGGATGGGAACTGTTTGATCTTTGTATTTATATCCCTATCACCAAACACAGGGTCAGTATTATGAATATATAAGTGTTCAAGAAATGCTTGATGAATTAAATTGAATTAAAGCAACTGAGGATTATGTAAGGTTTCTTGGCCGACACAGTTGATTCATATTTGACTTAAAATCCATTAAAGTTCCCAGATTTTTTTTCAGACAAATTTCTTCTTACCCATACCTTCTCTACCTTGTACCTCTGAAATGGATTTTTGAACCCAAGTGTGAGATTGTGCATTCATCCCTATTGGATTTCATCTTCTTAATTTGCCCCAGTGTTCTAAGGTTTATTTTGGATTTTGACTACCATCAAACATGTTGGCCATCCCTCCTAGCTGTGTGTCATCTGCAAATTTGATGAACATGCCATCTGTATCTTCATTCAAATAATTAATAAAAATGTTAGAACAGGGCCAAAAACAAATCCCTGGGTCACTTCACTGGAAATCTCCTTCCAAGTTGACATTGCACAATTAGTTTTCCAGGTCATGTGACCAACAAGATGGAGGACTAGACACTTTCTCTGATCCTCAGGTCTTCATAACCTCTCAAAACTCTCCAAAATAGGTATGATACACAACAGATAAGTAATTTCAGTTGTCTTCGTGGTCTAAGACATCAAAAACCCTAATAGCAAGGAAAGCTAATCTCCAATTCCTAAAGCACTTGCTCAGCATCCCCTTCCCTTTGGCAGGGCTGTACAAGCCAACCCATGGACTTGCAATAGAATTCAACTCTCTTCCCATCCCTCTGGGTAACGCAGAAGGCCAAAGCCCAGCAACTTGTTCCAAGTGGGACTAAAGTGTGGCAGCACATTATGATTCAATAGAGCTCATGCAAAGAAATGAGTGGAAGAAGGAACTCATCTGGTAGGATGCCAGAGTGCATGGAGGGGACTACCAAGCAAAAAGGGCTAGAGCAGTAGCTCCTAAATGTGATCAGTTGTGTCCTTCCAGAAATAGCTTGGGGATGAAACCAAGGCTGGTGCAACATGAATTGCCCAGCATGGGGAGTAGGGGTGGGGGCTTTGACAGCTTTGAGGTCTAGTCAGGAGAAACCACCATTAAGGGAGGAGTCATAATGTGAGTGATAGGGGAATACAAAGGAAAAAAATCTGAAATTACAAAATAGGAAAAAGAAAACTCAGTTAAAGACTTTGAGTGCAAGCAGATAAACTAAAAGGGATGATATTAATGAAAGAAGAGGAGACGGCCTCCAGATTATCTAAATAAGTCCAGATATCTCTAAATAAATATTACAAGATAAAACAAAATGCAGCAACACCCAGGGAGGCAAAGGATCCTGTGGATTCCCAAGCAACCATGAGACCACAGTGGAGTGTATGGTTTCAGACAGAAATAAGAATTATGAAAGTAATTTTTATGAAAAATAGAGCAAAAATAATTAGAATAAAAAACTTGAATCCACAGTGGCAAACGGCACAAAACAAAACAAAAGAAAGAATAACTGGGGATCTAAATACACAGAAGTAAAAGACAGTCTAGAAGAAGAGAAGGAAAATATAATAATGTTAAAAGAAAGCCTTGATCTCAAAGAGAGGATACTTAGAGACATTGAACCATTAATGACCGTTTGAATCATTTTCAAATTCAACACCTTACACTATAGTCTGACCTACATCTCTCCAGCTTTTCTATAAAAGTAGCGTGAGAGACTTTATCAAATATTTTGAGAAAATTTACATAAATTGTGTTTATACCCCTCTCTATATCTTCCAGTTTAGTAACCTGTTGAAAAAGGGACTAAGATTAGTCTAATACAGTCTGACCTTAAATGAAGCTATGCTGAGTCTCTGTTATCAACACTTCCTTTTCACTAACCATCCTTTCATTATACTTCAGAATTTTGCAAGGAACCAAAAATCAACCTTACTGGCTTATCTTTTTTGAAAATTGGGACAGTTGATCTCTTTATTCCGGTTTTCATCATCTTTAAAGATCTTTAAAGGCAGACATTCAATAACACCATCTGCCAGTCTTATTTGTAATCTAAGATGAAGTCTGTCAAGGCCCAGTGATCAGAACTTGTTAGTTCTGTGCACACAATAGGTACTTAAAAAACTCTTCCTGCACTGGATTCTATCAAAGACAGTTAGATGTTCCCTTAACTTATCTTGAGTTATCAACTCCCTATTAACTATTTTTGTTCTATCTTTTTTAGTCCAAAGACCTTTCTTCCTTCCAAAGAAAACAGAAGTAACATAAGAGTTGAGCCATTTCTTCTTTCTAATTTCATTCCCCCTGAGCAGTGGTGCCCACCTCTTCTTTGATCCTCCTCTTCATCTGAATATACTATTTTTAAATTGTTTTTGTTACTCTGAGATTTTTTTTTTTAGAATTTTAGCTCATTCTGAGCTTTTCTACTCCTGGCACAATTTTCACAGAAGTGTGATGTGTATTTGCATCCATCCTCTGCTATTTACCCTTGCTTTCATCATAAATAGAACACTCACCTTGGAGTCAGGAAGACCTGAGTTCAAATCCTGCCTCTGACATTAGCTGTGTGACTCTCAAAGACTTTAAACTTCATAGAAATTGCTGATCTGCATGAGTAAAGAGAGTTTCCTCCCTGAGAATTCTTTCACCAATGAAATCATAGATCCAGACCAAAAAAAAAAGTATGTTGATATTTCCCATATATTCACATAGGCCTCTTAATACAATTTCAATCAATCAATGCTTATTAAGCGCCTATTATGTATTAGGTACCACTCTCCATTGGAATTGTACTTTGTGCTTTCAGAATTTCGTTCTTGGTTGTTTCCCATCTCTCCTGGTGTGAGATCCCCTGTAGAATTTTAGTTCATGAGATTCATATTTATCCTTTCTCTGAAACCTTTGAAATCTGCTCTCCTATATTGAGGGAGGGTACTTGTGACTTTCCTCTCCCTTGTGATCACAAGTTCTGTGTGCCTCCAAACTTCTCACCAAACATCCTGAAGGAAGCGCTGATGTAAAAATCTAAAACTATGGGGTTTGTGTGTCAACATTCCCTTAATTCTCAGTGTTGGTAATGAGGATTATGAGACGCATCCAAAAATAGAATTGTCTCTTATTGATCTTCTACCTTCTGGAGGATGACGTTATCATTAATGCAAATCAGAACATTCATTAGCAGCTCTGTTGTTAACGGGCATAGATGTCTACATAATTGAAGCCATTTACCATCAAGTGAAGAGATGAAGAATGA